TATTCAGATACTATTCAGATGTATTCAGTTATGCAACCAGCTTATAACTATGCAAATGTATGCAGCTTTTCCCTTACACAGTGTCCTGTTTTCTTTCAGCTTCTTTTTTGGAAATTCAGCACTTCCTGTGGGAGTGCAAGCTGAGCCCCAGGGAGCCATCTGGAGCCCTCCCAGCCTCAACTCCCCAGCCCAGGCTGGAGCTGGCATTAGTTCCCATCAGAAACCTCACCACCCTGGCTACTTGAGTCCTCCTACCCATACAATCCAGGCCCCTCAGCCTACCCTAGATCCCACGCACAGACCTGGTAGCAGTCCCCTGCAAGATGCAAGAACATAAAGAGGGTCTGCATGGTCCATCCAGTTCTATAACCTGGCACTGGTGTGTAGGAAACTGTGAGAAAAAGCCAAGTGTATACCAGTACTGCTCTGGTATGTCTTCTCAGGCCCCAGTGATCTGTGACTGCGGTAGCTCCTGAGACATACGTGTATCTTGTTATTTACTAGCTCTTGATGGATTTTCCTCCATGGATTACTCCAATTGCTTTTGGAATCTGTATAAAGTTTTAGCATCCAGGACATCCTACAGCAAGGAGTCCCACAGCTCAACTACCCAGTATATGATGAATTACTTCCTTCCATCTCAGCTGGCCTCCTGCTGGACTCTGCAATAACCCCTAGTCCTTGTGTTAGAAAAGACTGTGAACACACACATCATCTCCCCACTGCCAACTGCTGTGTCATCCCTTTGGTCATCTCTTCCAGGCTATGGAGACTATTCAGTCCTTCCTCTTTCCTTCCCTATGTTTTGTCATGCTTATGCTTCTCTGAGTCTTGATGAGCTGGGACAACGGTGTTCTGTTCTCTGCTCCCTTCCTAGTAATGTCCACCACATCCATTGTCTCCGTGGAGCAGAGGGGTACATCTAGGAAGTCCCTATGCTGTTGCATGCCCACGTGCTATTTAACCCCCATGTCAGTCTTTTCGTTAGTGAGCTTCCACTGGCAGGTTGACTCCCTTGCACCTGGGACTCAAGAGTCCTGTCTCACAGGAGCCTCTGCTGGCACTTTCCTGCACCTCCCCTCCTGCCTGCTGCCTATGCCCACAGGGCCACAGGCTCCGTGTGGCACACAGGGCTTGTGCCACTGCCACACGTGTGAGGGCTACTCTGACACAACCATTCAGGCAGCCCGGGAACAGGCCACGTCCCTGGCTCCACCTGGCACCTGGTGCCCTTGCATGGATCCAGAGCTCTGTGCATGGGGAACGTTCTCCAGAGGCACCTGCAGCGATGGTGGGAACATCCCAGGCTCCGCCACTTTGTCAATCCCTACAAGCAGCCCTTACCACAAGCTCTGGGCACTTACCAGCTGCACCAAGCACAGTGTGCCCTGCAGGATGCTCCCTGTGAAAGGCACAGCTGAGCCTGCGGGGAGCACTGAGGGAGGCTGCAGCCCCTGCAGCTCTTGGGATGTGAGCCAGCCACACAAACGTGCCACCATCCCCCAGGGCAGCACAACCTGGCCACGGGCCTGTGCTCATCCCCAGGACTTCCGGCCCTGTCTCAGTGCCTGGCTTGCCTCCTTCCAGTCACTTTGGCCGTGGAGAGCTGGTGAAACAGCTGGCGTAGGTGCGATGTGCAAGCCCCTGAGCAGAGCCAGGCCCTGCAGCACAGCGGGGTGGTGCTGCCTACCTCCGGCGAGGGCTGGCCGGGCAAGCACAGCTCCCCAAGTGTGCTGGCACCCTGCCGAACGCCGCAGCCCCCAGCACTGCAGCCCTGTGCCGGGGGGGGAGGGGCCCCAGGGGCCCAGGCAGGGCCCAGCAGAGA